CCGCAGGACCATGCTTGCAGGAGTGAGAATATGGATCTTGCCCAAAGATTGGATAATAAGGCTGCCGAGGCTTGGGTTGGACATCCCTACTTTGATGTGATTGACAACTCAACAGATTTTGACACTAAGGTTTGTTTGTTTGTTTTTCTCTCTCTTCCTCCTCCTCCTTCTTCCTCTTCCTCCTCCTCCTCCTTCCTCTTCCTCCTCCTCTTCTCCTCTTCCTCCTCTTCTTCCTCTTCCTCCTCCTCCTCTTCCTCCTTCCTCCTCTTCCTCCTCCTTCTCCTCCACTTTCACCACCTCTTTTTCCAACACCTCCTTCTCCATCTCTTCTTCTGTCTCCTTCTCATCCACCTCCTGTACCTCCTTCATCATCTCCTCCTCCTCATCCTCCTTCACCTCCACTCCCACTGCTTCTTCCATCTCATCCTCCTCTGCCTCCACCTCCACCTCTTCTTCCATCTCATCCTCCTCTTGAACCTCCTCCTATCTCATCCTCCTCTTGAACCTCCTCTGTCACCTTCCTCCTCTGCTCTATCCTTAGTTTATGTTCATTTCTCCTTTCTTTTGTTATTTTTTCCTTACACTTTATTTTTCTTTTTGTATTTCCACTTGCTATCATGTTCAAATAATCACAAAGCTATTTTGAATGTGATGTATGTTACTGGTCAAGAAAAGTATTGTACATAAAAGGAAAACAATCATATTGTTTGTAAAAATGGCTGGTTCAGACATGTTACACAAGAATGTTTCTTGATCTTGTGTATATATCTTTTGCATTGTCTGCCCTCAGGGAGAATTGATTTTACAACATATGATCCATGTTTGTATGCCATAACCTACCATTGTTGACTTGATTAATTCCCTCAATATATGATCCTTTATCAGTGCATTTTTCACCATGCAGCCTTCCTGATATAAGTATATACAAACCCAAATCTTCCACAGATGCGTCGCATGATAAGCGTTGTTTGTCAGAAGCTTGGCGTAGACACAGGTGACAGATTGAAGACCAACGCCCGCAAACTCAAATTCCTCGTCAAGGGACCATTGCCTGATGACGGTCTTTTCCCAACCTTCCAAGTCAGTTTCTGGAGTATTTGTGTGTTTATTTATTTATTTATTTATTTATTTATTTATTTATTATGTTATCAACAGTAGTTTTGGTGATTTTTTTTTTTTTTTTTTTTTTTTTTTTTTTTAAATGTTACACTTGTCAAGTTGTTGAATACAGTTATGATAAGTGATATTTTTCTTGTTATAGATAGTTTGTGATTGAAATGAAGATGACAAGCTTTATAAAATGTTTAATTAGTGAGTAAAAAAGTGATGATAATTGAAGCTATTCTAGGAATATAGCAATTTAAATTATATTATATAATAAACATCTCTGTATTCCTTTGAATATCCAATCTCAAAATAAAATTTAATTGATTATAAAAATCAAATAAATAACCTTTAAGAGAAAATATAAGGCCTACTGTAACATACTTTGGTAATATAATTCTAGGACTTCAGTGTCGAGCATATATATCTTCGCACAAACTCTCGGAAGATGCAGGCACGGCTCAGAAAACGCGGCAAAAATGGTATGACTGTTATTTTGCTTGTACACAAACCACATTATTTAAAGCCCTTATGGAATTTCCTTTACATAAGTTTTGATATATACCTATATGCAAAAAATTAGGTACACTAACAATTGTAACTATGATATAATATTTTTAAAGTTTCTATGTGGTCGTCCCTTATATAAGGTACTGTGTGTAGATATATATATATATATATATATATATATATATATATATATATATATATATATATATATATATATATATATATATATATATATATATATATATATATATATATATATATATATATATATATATATATATATATATATATATATATATATATATATATATATATATATATATTATATATATATATCTTTATTTTACTGATCATCTATACAAACAAGGGCTTGTACATACATCATAATGTTACTATGAAAATAACTTTTAAAATTTCATGCACTATATTTAAATTTTTTTCTTAGTCATAGCAACTTTAATTTCCTTTTCCAGGCCACCACAGTTACACACATACCATTCGCAAGCCAGAACAGTTGGGGCAGATTGTAGAGGTGAAGACAGCTATTAGCCAACGGGACTGGAACAACATGTCAGCTCAAGCAGACGAACACCACTACCCCATTTACAAGATCCGTCGGTGCTTCCTTCATAACAACCAGTATTTCCAGCTGGACATTTACCAGAAGCCCTGCCACCAAAGGTAACAAGAATCTGATGTCTCTTTTAGATTTAAGAATTGTTGAGGATTCGAAAGACAGTTTTCAGAACTGCAATGACTTTCAGGTCTTTTACAGACTTTTACAGGTTTTCGTTGCTATAATTATCATGCTGTATTTCATTTGAGCATATTCAATCATCAGTTAAATATATATATATATATATTTTTTTTATTGTTCATAAGAGGC